GCTTATCTATTGGTGACAATGGAATATTGAAGTATCACACTATCATTGTTTGGGGTCTGTGTTTTTAAATCTAGTAGTGATTGCTTAATAAATTTGGGTACACTGACCTTGGGACATTTCCTTAGAAAATCTTTTTTCTACTTTTTCACCCTAAGCCAATGTTTGTTTCTGTCTGTGAGATGAGTTTCTTATAAACAACGAATCATTGGGTCTTCTTTTTTATCCAGGTTGGCAATCTGTGATTTTTGATGCATGAACTGAGACCATTAAAATTCAGTGTTAATATTAAGTGATATGTGGTAATTCTTGGCATTTTGTTGTTTTTGATATATATAAATGCATGTATATGCAATTGATTTTTTGGTACTCTACGATGGTTTATCTGCTTATCTTCTGAGATTTAATTATTTGTATCCTTTATGGCTATATTTATTTTCACCTTCTGTGTATAGGATACTGGTAGCTTCAGAAGTTTTAATTTAGTGACCATTTATTATTTTAGTTTCTGTTTATTATGAAAGGTTCTCCTTCAATTGTGAATGATAGTTTTGCTGGGTAGAGTATTCTAGGTTTGAAATTGTTGCTTTCTTTTTTTTCATCTGTGAAATCCTTCATTCCATGCTCTTGTTGTTTTTATGGTTTCTGTGGAGAACTCTGCTATGATTTTGATGGGTTTACCTTTATAGTTTATTTGATGCTTCTCCCTTACAGCATTCAATATTCTTATCTGTTCTCTGTGCTTATTTTTTTAAACTATGATATGTGGTGGATTCTATTTTGGTTTGTTCAGTGTCAGATGCCTCCTGTACCTGATAGGTGTCTTTCTCTCAAGATATGGGAAGTTTTCTGCTATTATTTTGTTGCATATATTTCCTATGCCTTTGTTTGTGCATCTTCTCTTTCTTTGATACCCATGATTCACAGGTTTCATGTTTTGATGGAGTTGCCGAATTCTTATACATTCCTTTTAATCTTATCTCTGTATATTCATCTGCTTTTTCTATTACATTAATTTTTGTTTCATGTCCTGAAATTCTGTTTTCTACTTGTTCTAGTCTCCTGGAGTGGCTTTCAACTGTATGTTTTATTTGATTTATGGAGTGTTTTATCTCCAAGGTTTCTATTTTTTGTTTTTGAGATTTTCTATATCTTTATTAAGCTCCTCTTTCTCCTCTTGCATTGTCTTCTTTATTTCATTTATATGCTTTTGTGTTTTCCTCGATTTCATTCTAATGGTTTTTTGTATCCTCTTTGATTTCATTTAGTTGTTTCTGCCCCTTTTCATGCTTTTTATTCACATTCTTTTGGAATTCACTGACTTGTTTTTGTATGTCCTCTTCAAACTCCTTAAAAATTCTTATCATCATTCTCTTGAATTTGGAAACTGAGGTTTCATCTCCTTCTCTGTCCACCAAATCCTCTATCATGTGATTGTTGATCTTTTAAGGGTCATATTGCCCTGCCTTCTTCTATTTCCCATGCTTCTATTTCAAGATTTGCTCACATGCTATTATTAGTTGTTTGGGAGATTTAGTCACCTTAAATCTTTCCCTTGACTAAATTTCTATGTTCTTGCCAGATTGTTTGTTGGCTAGGTTGTTGTATTGTTTCTGTTCATTGGCCTGGGGTCATAACTTAACAACAACAAATTCATGAATTGACTTTCAAATCAATTATTTACATGAAATGTAAAATCTTTGACAGAATTATCTATAAACAGAGGGGTCTTGGGAGAATAAGAGCCATTTACATTTAGGTGGTAAAAATAATGGCAATTGAAGAGGAAGTGAGGAAGAAAAGGTATGTGAGAGGGAGAAGAGATGTTATAGAGTAATAAGACCCTAATGTGTGTAGGGTGGTAGTTCAATCATTGTGGAGGAGTGTCCTACTGTCAGGGATTGGAGCAAGACAGAAAAGGTGAGAATATGTGTAAAGGTGGTTGAATAAATCACTCACTGAGTGATTTGTAAGGAAGAGATAGGGAAAGTGGTTGAAAGGGAGAAGGAGAAGGAAAAGAAGATAAGGAAAAGGAAGAAAGAAAAGGAAAAAAGGAGAAAAAATTGGAATAAAAGACAGATTGAAACTTCAATAAAAAGGGAAAGAAAAAAAGATAAAAACATTTTTAAGTCCAAATTTCTTTCTTATTGTGGAGAGGAATTGGTTTCCTCTGTGTTCAATGAGTACACTGAATGTGTCCTGACAATTTCTGGGCCTCAAGTTTTATTCTGCAGCTCTCATGTGTTCCCTCCAGGTGCTGTGCCTTCCCAACCATGCAAGCCTATGTCCCTTTAGACAGGTGCTCTCTCTGGGTCTGTACTCCTCCCTAGGATAGATATGCTCGGTTTGGGTGTCAATCAGTGGTGCCCCTCTACATCATAGTGGTTTGGAGTGCTCCACTCAGGCTGTTTAGTTACAGACTCCTCTTGGGGCAGGGAAGTCAAGTCAGATTGCTTGTACAGTCAGGTTCTCCAAGGTGTTCATGTGTAGAGGTGAGCAGAAAGTAATGGCAAGCTTGTCATGACAGGCAAGTCTGGAAGCTGTAGCTCAGTGTCTGTGGCCAAAAGCTATTCTCTGGGAGGGCAGTCAGTTTCAGCTCAGTAAGAGGCTTCTTGGAAGGGACTGAATGAATTATTTCCCATGAGGTGGGCTGGGGCTTATCTAGCCTGCACCCATACAGTGTTTCTTTGTATATAAAGTACACAGGCTGAGCTGCCAGTCAAGGTGCCCCTCTTCTACCAAGTAGAGCAGGAGATTTCATTCCATTTATTATGCCAAAAAACTTTCTCCTGAAGAGGTACAATTAAAGGCCACAACTTGAGCTGGACTATGCAGTACCCTCCAGGACTGAAAGAAGCAAGCTTACCTGAATGGATTGTAGGCAACTATCTCTGGTGTCAGAGGAACTGAGGTCAGTGGCAGGTAGGCTGGGGACATAGATGGTAAGGAGCAATTCCCTAGTGGTGAATGTTCCCACTCTCCACAGTCCAGGACTCTCTAGACTCTTGAAGGGCTCACAGTCCTGTGTGTTGATTTTTAGCACTTTCAATAGTCTTTTTTCAACTGGAGGTTATTCTAGCCCAAAAAAAAAAGGAGAGAGAGAGAGAGAGAGAGAGAGAGAGAGAGAGAGAGAGAGAGAAAGAAAAAAAGAAAGAAAGAAAAAGGAAAGGAAATGTTGTACCCACCAGCAGCGCAGCAAGGGATATTGTCACAGTTCTGACTCTTGTTGGCCTCTCTGTGTTGCATTCCTTCACCCTGTATAGTGCTCAAGCCCCATTTAATATGAAGTGCTTATAATCTACTATCAGACAAGGAGGGTCAAGTAATTTATTTATATGCAATATTTATATAGAAAGGTGAAAAAAAGGTTAGAATAACATTTCTAGGTTTCATGACTGACATTTGGGGAAAGGGGCTATAGTTCCTGTGATCTTTCTTACGGAAGAGGAATTCTTAGCTTCTATGACCTGCTTTTGGGGATTAAGAGGAACAGGAGGAGGATCGCTAAGAAATGGTGTGGAAAACATTGCCCTTCTAATGTCCTTCCATTCCAAGTACTCAACATGCCAAAGTGCCACACATTGGAGTATTATTTTCTGAGCCCCAAGATCATGCAAGGGACACATAACTATGTCTAGAGAGTTTTGATGGTCCAAAGTAGCATTTTGTGTATGAGGTGTGAGGGTTCAGGATAGTTTTGTTATCTAATGGGTAAAGGCTAGGGGTGCTGTTCATTCTAAACTAAACAGACTATACAATAAAACAAAACTTCTCTCATGTATATGTCAATAGTGCCAAGGTTTAGAGTTCCTAATTTTTATGAATATGTTTGTGGAACAAAGGAAGGGATGAAAGGTAATTAACACTAATCAGATTCTTTTTATGTCAAGCACAGTTCTAATACTTTATGTGAATCAACTTATTTAATTCTCACAACAACCCAATGTGATAGCTTTTATGAGTCTTGAGTGTCTGTTAATTTTCTGTTAACCTCTTTACTATAACATCTTTTTTGCAAGGTAGTAAACTGATGATTTAATACTTTAATGTGATTCTACAGGCTATTATGAATAAACTAGAAATAGCAAGTGACTATACTCATGGACTTTCCTCTTCTAGAACTGTATAGGGCATGAATAGCATAATGACAAAGGGAACATTGGTACTTTGTTGTGGGAACTAGTTCTTCTTGGTGGAAAATAATAATATGAGTTGAACTTTAATTCTCAAAAGACCCAATGTTAGGTCTACAGCACATTGTGTAAACATAGGCTCAATAATTTCTATCCCTTAGGAGCAGAACCAACCTCAGAGGAAATCATAAGAGAGAATAATTTTTTTTGCTTCTAATCCATTTTCCCAGAAGCACGAAATAGATCTCATTTGATTGAGGAAATATTTGGAATCTCATAGAAGGTTGTTGCCTTCCTTATTGATGTGAAGAGAACCTTTTGGAGATATTTCCCTGACATGTTTCCCAAGCTCCCACTCCTAGCAGGTCAGAGACAGAATTGTGCTGGTGACTGTTTCCCCTTGATCATCACAAAATTGGGCCCCTCAGAACAGTAAGAAGGAAGGAGCTTTGAAGTCCAGCAACAGTGAAGTTTCCAGGGGAAGAAAGGTGAGCATTGAATCATATTTGTTTTGATAATCTCCCTTTAAACCCAATGCATTATATTTCATAGGTTCTGGAAAACACTACTTATTTACTGCTTGTTTAAGTTCTAATCATTAGCAAAAATAGAAGAAAAGGGAGGAAATGATGCTCAGAGACCTTGTGGGGGTCTTATCACATTCTAATGGCTAGAGACACACATCATGAGTGGGAGAAGGAGGAAATGGGGATTCTTCTGGAATCTACATGGAAAAGTCTTATTCTTTAAATGTCTTACTATGTCTACAGATAATCCTGTGCTTAGAAACCAGCACCTCCAACTCTTCCTGTGGGTTAAGTGGGGAATGGGGTTCATTGTAAAAGTAACCTTCTACCCCTATTCCTACAGATCTCATCCATGGAGCAAATGGCTTTGGAAAATGTTTCTTCAGTGACAGAGTTTATTCTTATGGGATTAACAGACCAACCTGAGCTCCAACTGCCCCTCTTTTTCCTATTTTTAGTCAACTACATAGTCACTGTAATGGGAAATTTGAGCTTATTGAATCTTATTTTCCTAAACCCACACCTTCATACACCAATGTACTTTTTTCTCTTCAATCTGTCCTGCATTGATTTCTGTTATTCATTTGTCTTTACCCCCAAAATGCTGATGAGCTTTGTTTCAGAGAAGAACATCATCTCTTTCACTGGATGCATGACACAGCTGTTTTTCTTCTGTTTATTTGTCAACTCTGAGTCCTATGTTCTGACAGCCATGGCCTATGATCGCTATGTAGCCATCTGTCAGCCCCTGCAGTACACAGTCATCATGTCCCCTAGGACCTGTTCTCTGCTGATGGCCAGTTCATACTTGATGGGGCTTGCTGGTGCCATGGCCCATACAGGTTGTATGCTAAGGCTGATCTTTTGTGATTCCAACACCATCAACCACTACATGTGTGACATCTTCCCCCTCCTCCAGCTCTCCTGTAGCAGCACCTACGTCAACGAGCTTGTGAGTTACATAGTTGTAGGTACAGTTGTCATTTTATCTAGCCTCATTATCTTAATCTCATATGCATTGATTCTTTTTAATGTCATTCATATGTCATCTGGTAAGGGTTGGTCCAAAGCCATGAGCACCTGTGGTTCTCACATAATAACTGTTGGCCTCTTCTATGGATTTGGATTACTTGCTTATGTCAAACCTAAATCTGCTGAGTCTGTGAGCCAGGGGAAATTCTTTTCAGTATTTTATACTCTTGTGGTGCCCATGCTAAATCCCCTCAGTTATAGCCTCAGAAATAAGGACATCAAACTTGCTCTGAAGAAAACCTGGAAGAGAATCACAAGCTGAATGAACTCTTGGGTTACCATTTCCCAGAAACAACACAAGTTTCTCCTTTTCCTTCTCTTATTACTTTCCTTTTATTCCTCTTCTTCTCTTCATTTTTATTCCTATAATCTGAATAGTATTTCTACTGAAATATCTTTTCTTCTCCATGTTATCTAAGTCTTTGGCTATTCTTTTTTTGTTTTTGTCTTGCGGGACTGAGGTTTGAACTCATGCTTTGCACTTCCAAAGCATGTACTCACAAAGCAGGTTCTCTATTACTTGAGCCACAACTTCAGTCCATTTTGCTCTGGTTATTTTGGAAGTGAGGGTATTGCAAACTATTTTCCCAGCCTGGCTTCAAACTGTGATTCTCTCAGTTTCAGCCTTCCAAGTTTCTAGGATGACAGGTATGAGCCAGCTGTTGGCCTACTCTTCATACTGAGATTATCTTCAGTCCCTGCAACCAGGTCTTTATCCTCTGTACCAGATGGAGACTCCAAGCCATTACCTTTTCCTATATAAATACAATACTATTTACATTTTTTTTCTTGAATATCTTTACCTTTCAAGGAAAGTCAAGGATTTGAGTACTTTCTGACAAATTTATTTATTTATTGCTTTTCTAAAATAATTTTAAGAAACTTTTCCTGTTTCAAGTGTTTTATCATTTATAACTGCATTATGATAAATTTCAGGGTTCCTTTGGCAATAATTGTTTTCCCTGAATTTTTAATATTCCATGGGTAATATATCTATACCCTATTGAACTTATATTCTGTTCTTCTGGATGTATGAGGATAGATGACATCTATGTTTTTCAAAGCCTAACAATAATGAAAATGCATTGGTCACCTGTTATTTGTTCATAATGGTATTAAGTTTGTAGCAATTTTGTAGATGTTGTGGATGTATCTTTGATTGTGTTTCAAAATGATATTCACAGCTACAGAGCAGAATAACAATATGTAATATCAAAATTCTTTTTTTTTTGGTTCAGGGACATAAGACGAATTTTAATTTGTGAAGCAAAATTTATTTTCTTCCTTTTAAAGAACAAAGTTCTGAAGAAGTAGCTTAATAGTAGAACACATGCCTAGCTTGTATAGGAACTTAATTCAATTCCCAGTATCACAAAAAGAGGTTAAAAATGCAAATGAAAATATATGGTATAAATCATGCCTACTTGGTAGTTATTCTTTCAATATGTGAATTTTAATTTTTTTCTCTTAGATGAATAATTTGACTTGGTGGTCCATACCATGAGTCACATTCTTACAAATCCCATTTAACACAGACATCCCTATAGTGTTCTCTGAATAAGAAAATGTTTATGTGACTTGTTTAAGGCTGCAGAACTAATGATATCCCTCATGCAACATTTGAAGAAATGAAAGAAAAGGAAAGGAGAGTGTGCAATAACAGAGAAAACTTCTGTAGATTTGTTTTAGAAATAGTTCAAAAATAGGGATTATGTGGAAATGATAACCCTAGTCAAGATCTCTGTAGCATATAGATGATGTACAATGTGCTAAGAGTGGAGCTCTGAGATACCCTGAATTAATTTATAGGCTGCAGAATGGAGGAAGGAAAAATTATGGGAATTTAAGTGCAGCTTCAATCTAAATCAACAAAGTAAAAGGAAAAAAAAAAACTGCTCTACATTCCTTTCCTGTATGTCAAAATTTAGGTATCCATGTGATATCCATTCTGCTTTTGGAACCAACCAACCAAGAATAAAGAATATCTTCTCTTTATGCCTGTCCTCCTATCCAAGGTCTTTGCCCACTTAATTTGTCTTTCCCCTGTCATCTATAGCCAGTGTGATGTACAGTAAGTGATATAATATGTACTTTCTTCTCTCCAAATTTTCATTATGAAATACCATCTTTTTCTAACTCCTACCTATTCTAAAGTGATCACCATTTTTCACAGTGGGATATAAAGAAATGTTTCATCCTGATCTGTTTGTAAAAATGGTCATTTCTCTGAAATGGTAGGGTGGAGGTTTAGTAGTATTTATGATAAAAATTGTATAAATTCAAGTCGAGTTAAATTTAATATTTTGATGGCCTTGAAATGGTGTCTATTTACCCATCACCCAAAGAAACAGGTATCACCAGATATTTTATTTGGCATATTGCCAATGTTGATGTATTAGTGAAAGATTATTTAAATTTCTCTTCGAATTTTTCATTCTTTCTCCTTCATGAATAAAGATGAAGACAGAGCTTTTTAACTCCTTCATGTAAAACAAAATGGCCAATATGTCACAGGTGAAAGTATTGAGAGCAGGCCAGTGAGGTGTGACCTCCTATAGTTGAAGTTTAAGTCTGGTCTTTCTGAGATTGTAGCCAAAGAAGGGCTCTGTAGAGGCAAAGAATAAGGAGGTGTTTTAAGATTATGACAGTGTCACTTAAGAAGGGACAGGGATAAAGAGGATCCTTGATAAGAGAGAACAGGGATATCTTTGACTTCAGTCACCAATTCATACATTAACCACAAGCTCTTGAAATCTTTAATTTGTTTACTAAGGCATTTACAGTTGTTATCTTTTCTGATACATTGTGTACTACAGAGGATCAAAAAGTTTCATTTGTCCTCTTCATTATCTCCAGCATCTGTTTTAATGCTGTTGCTCCCTATATAAAACAGTGTCAAGATTGGTGTTAATGACTGATGCATTGTAATTAAGCAGATCTAACTGCTAAGAGTAATAGGAGAGAAGAGTGAAAAGGTGAACTCCAGGGAGAAGATATACAGGGTTAAATATTCACTGAGTGACTTATTAGTTACAAGGCTACATGAAGACCAACAAAAACCTGCCTGGAAAGAAATGGGTATGTGAAAAACAGACAAAATGTAATGGCAAATGGGACTGATGGGACATTCTCAAGAAAACCAGTATATGCATTATGTGACTACCAGGAGAAGAAGAGAAAGAAAAAGGAATAAAATTGTTATTTAAAGAGATAATGATTGAAAAACTCTACAAATTCTGTGAAGGAAATTGATATCTTGTTTTGTGAACACCAGAAGTTCCCAAATAAGATGAATCTAAATAGGTATACACCAACACAAATTGTAATTAAATTATGAAATGTGCAAGTCAGAATTTTACAGAGTAATGTGACTTGTCACATACAAAAGGGACTCTATAAGATTATAAGCAATTTTCTCAGTGAAAATCTTGTAGAACAAGAGGGAGTGAGATAATATATTCAATATACTGAAAGAAAAACAATACCAAACAAAAATAATTAGTCCAATGAAATGTCATTTTAAGAATGAAGGAGAGATAAAGACTTTTTAGACAAACTAAGAAACCTGCTTAATAGAGTATAAAGGGTACTAGAGGGGTGAAGAGTATCAAAATATATATTTGTTCAAAGTACACTGCACTCATCTATTGAGTTATTATCATGAAATCCTCAAGTACTATTAATGTATAATTAAAAGTTGGGAAAGTATCAAAATTCTGGTGTTGTTTGCTTCATATACCAAAGTTCTTTGATGTTGAGTGCACATATATTTCTGACAGTTAAATCTTCATGTTAAATTAACATATTAACATTATATAATTATCTTCTTTAATTCTTGTAACAATTTTTGACTAAAGTCTATTTTGTCTGATATGAGTAGAGTCACCCCTGTTTTAGTTATAATTTGAATGGGATGTTTTCTCAACTACTTCATGATTTGTCACTGGGTATCCTTAATTCTAAAGTGAGTTTCTCATAGATAACAGATAATCAGATATTGATTTCATTTTATCCATTTAGCCACCCTTTGCTTTTTGAGTAAGTTTAATTTTTAAATAAATTATTGATAGTTAAGGACTTATTCTTGACATTTTGTTGTTTTCTGTCTTCTCTTTTTCTTCATTTTTGTCCCCTCCACTTAACACTCTCAGACAGCCCCACTTTTATACTCATATCTGATCATCATCATCACCACCACCATTTTAGGTCTAGATTCCATATATGAGTGAAAATATGTGATATTTGACTTTGAGTCTGGCTAATCTTGCTCAACAAACTGATCTCTAGTTCCATAACAAAACGAAACAAAATTAAGAAATTCTCAAAGTAGGAAAAAAACAAAAACAAAAAAATAGAGTTTCTTTGATGTTTTTTGTCTGGCTTTGGTAATGTTGGCCTTATAAAATAACTTCAAAAGTGTTTCCTATTCACCTTTTTGGGAAGATTTTGAGAGTATTGACATTAATTATTGAAAATCATTGGTAGAATACACCAGATTTCTCTGTTTTCAATGGCTGTCACATGTCAAGAGTTTTCCAGATCCAGTCGTTGCTCTGACGCAAGTGAGACAGAAGCTATTTGCTGAGGTAGACTCCAGATAGGTTGGGCCATTGTACTAATTAAGCACCACTTTTCCTCCTTAGGGAAATGCAGGGAACTGGGGATTTCCATTTGCTAACTCCTTGATGACTCTTGGGGAAGAGCTATGGTGACTGGCACAGCCCAGACACGCAGTTTTGTTCCTTCTAAACTTAGAAAGAGCACACTGTGTCCTGAGTACTGTCAGCAGTCTGAGATAGCATAGATGGCAGTCATCTGTGTAGTCTCCACAGTTTGGGGGATGGAAGTGAAATGCACCTTTTTTCTTTAGGAAGAAACTGGGACTGAGATATTTCCTCTCCTGTTTCCAGACTTAACTGAGAAGATTGGCTATGCTGAATGTCAGTCTAAATCATCTTCTCTGTTCTACCTGGTACCTGGTAATCTGTGTATGATTTGTCTTGTGTTATGCTAGCCTGTGAGACAGGCTAGAAGCCATTCCCGTGAATATCATGAGCAAAAGATAGGGCTTTGAATGTTTGCATGGTGTGCTCGGTCCATTCTCCAGGAGATGTTTTTTATCTCAGTTCTGTAGTTCTGTATCAGCAATAGAGATTATGGGAAGAAGGTAACTTGTATTTCCCTACCAGGTTCAATGTGGCTTGTTACACACTAGATTAGGGTGCATGAGCACCATAAATACCGTTTGGATTTCTCATAAAT